CTGCACTGATGCTCCGGTGCTCAGGTTATTCTGAAGGAGTGGACTGATAAGAGGGGTTACTAGGTCAAAGCATTGGCCCACACACGGTAATAAACAGGAATAAATGGAATACAAAAACATTCAATACTCAAGTTGTAAAAGTTATACAAATATATTTTATATACATGTAATCTGTACAACCATTTGAGACGGTGGACATTTTTCATGTGCACATCCTTCATAATGCAGCCGCCACCACAGGCCTGCATGCGTAAAAATGCGTCTGAAGAGTATAAAAAAGCAATTTAAAGCACGCAGTTTATCTTTGGACCAGCAAAGACAACAATGGGTGACATATTGCATTTAAATAAAATTCAACTTGTCTTTACGGGAACGAAAAAGAGATAACATTCTCTGTTATTCCCACTCAAAGTCTGCGGAGATGAGACGTTCATGACAGTCACAATGTTTCTGGTTTTTTCTCGGAAAATCAGTGTTCCTCGGTTCGTCAAGACGCCGTTGTTCCACATAACCTCGTTGTATTGTTCAGCATCTCCTTCAACTCGTTCTCCGGCTTACCTGCAACCATGAAAGGCCACGTCTGCAGGGAAAAATAAAATCAATTAGGGCCAGCAGTTTCTTAGAATATTAATACAAATAAATCAAGTTATTAGATTGGAAGAAAAAAAAAAACAGATCCATAATGTGTCAGTTTATCACCTGCGGATATCAAGTGCACATAATAATTGCCTGGCAGGAATGGACGATATCATGCAGACGTTCATGCATTAAATAAATACAAATGTTATGTGATTGAGATCTAATCGACTTAATAAATCAGTGTGTCTCCTAAATCAGAAGATTTGTAATCCCAATTGACATTAGTGTAGCTATTTTTGAGCTATTATCAACATATCAAGGCCAAATGTTGTATGCCTCAGAGCTTTTTCCCAAAAAACAATTGTAAATCTCATACATTTGTGGCCTATGTGTGCATGTAATATTATGTTGGTAACAATACATTTTAGACAGAGCTCAGTCAAAATAATTCAAATGTTTTGCCTTAAAACAGTCAGCTGAATTTTTGCTCTTCCTCTTTCATGCACCTGCTTCACTCATCTATCACCCACATGTATCACCTATACATTGGTGTAGCCTGGAATACAAAAATATCAACCAAAAAAACAACCCTTCCTGCTCAATTCGGCCTGTAATACATTTATACTTCACTTCAGTTCCCTCCCTCATATTTATTTTTAAACATAAATAAACGTTCAGCTGAATTTCCCTTCACCCAGTCTCACCAGGTTAACGGGGTGGATAAATCCGTTTTCATATTTGTCGTTGGCTAGTATCTGCCGGAGGTGCGCGATGTAGCTGGACGCCAGGCGCAGAGTGTCCAGTTTGGAGAGCTTGGTGTCCGACGGTACCCAGGGCAAGGTGGTCTTCAGGCGGGAGAAGGCTTTGGACAGGACCCGCATCCTGGCTCTCTCCCGGGCGTTGGCCGCGTTCCTCGGCCCATGCTTGCCCTCCTGCTGTGCCCCACCCTTGGATGCCTTTTTCCGAGACGCTTTCTTCCGTTTCTTGCCCGGTGCGTCTTTTGCGCCCTCGGAGTTGGAGCTCTCTTCCTCGCTCTCGTTTGAGTCTTTACTGGAGGAGCCAAACTTTAGGATGCCGTCCAGGAGCTCGTCGTCGACATCGCTGAGAGACCCGGTGGACATGGTGAACCAAAAGCAGCGCGCTTAAAACATGGGAGCAGGAAGCTGTGGCCGGAAAGGAATGAACAACCGCGCGCCTCAGAGATAAGTTCATCAACTGCAGCTGTGAGCGTGAACAGAGCAGAGAGGAGCAGGCTTTTTATCCCTATCGTTGGGAGGGCGTTACCTCATGCTGGGAGGAGACATGGAGTTGATCTCATGCTGGTCCCCGAAGTGGTCCAGGACCCCAAGGGACGCTGGATAGGTCCCCAGGAAAAGGAGGATTATATCGTTTGTTTGAACCGTAATTCAAACCAACAATTAGGAGTAGGCCTTTCTATGAGGAAAAAATTGAAAGGATGAATTAGAAATATATCTGTCCGTTTTAAGAAGTTCAAGGGGTGCATTAACTAAGCCCCAAGCCTGTTTTTCAGGTCTCAGGCTCGAAAATGACATTCCCAGAACAAATTACAATAACTTCCCTTCTAAAAGGGGTAAATAATATAAATAAATAATCTTTTTTCTCAAAGCAATGATAAACCTTTGAGTTGGATGTAGAAAAGTCAGAATCAATGTAGAATTTTTTTGTTTTAAAGTAAATTCAGATTGAACATAGTAAAAAAAATAAACCATTACTTATAATGAAAACCACCCTTGAATGATGGGATCGGAGACTAAAATCTTTAAGAATCCAAAATATAACATAATAAGTACCCTGTATCAAGATTGATGCAAAACAAGTGACATTTTACCTTTTTGCAGAGGTTTGCAAAAAAGAAACCCACCTCTGGGGTCATTTGGGTGGAAATGGGCATATTTGCCGTTTCTCTACCCATTGGTCGATTTTGATGATTGACATCTCTTTTGAACCGTTAGAGCCAATAGAATCGAAGGGGACTTTCCACATACACACGTTACCATTGAGAAATGAGAGCTATGCCACGCAGTTTGCCCAAAGCAAAACCTTACTCTCTGAAATCTGAAAACTGAAAACATAGTTTTATTGCTGATGGATTATCAGAAATAATTTCAAAGTGACACAGACACATTGGTTTAACATATGGGTTAACCTTCAGCAGCGTTTTTATCGTTGCCACTAAAGACAACTTTTGATCAGAAAACAACAATGGTAAGATATATTGCTGTGTTGGCTACCTAATGCTACGTGGTGTGATGTCTTTGTTTTTTTTTGTTTGCTTCTCATGTCGTGAGTTCGGATGGGTCAGTAATGATACCAATACCTGTCGAATCTGTGCAATCTCAGCTTGCTAATCAATATATTCTTTTTGCAGATACGATAAGTAATAAGGGTATTTTAACGTGATTTATGTGCTGAGTGTGTTAGCATTTTTTCGCTCAGGGCTAATTCAGAGCCTTTGTTATTACCCTTATGTTTCGTTTTGCTAACAATGGTTAATATTGTCTGATAGCTGAGTTTCTTCCCGTTAAGTGGGTATGACCTAGGTTAAAAAGTTCGGGCCTATACAGTTTGAAAAAGTTAGGCTCAATCTGTAATATTCACAGTTATTTTTCAAGGTTTCAAACGTTTGACCTTTGTTCACCCTTAATGTTCACAACTGTTGTGGTTATAAATATAGCAGACAAATATTACAGACAAAGAAACATATTTTAATTGTGATGGCAGGTTCTAATGATGTCTTTTGATTTTGATCTTTTGATAGCCACATTTTGTTGTACATCTAAAAAACTTAAGAAAACTAACCTGTGACCACTTTTTCTTAACTTTGGACAATATGATTTTAATGTGTCATCTTATATGTAATTGGCATAACGTATATTCTAATAACCTCATGAGATCAAAATACTGTCTTCTATCTTCTATAAAGAAATTGGTTTAAGGTTCTTGCCATAAATCTTACATTATAATTCAAAAATATTATAAAAAAGGTCCTATCATCAAGACACTTAACTCAAGATATTTAGATTTTAGATTTTACTTTACAATTACAAATCCAAAAAGTGTTTGTTTTAAGCCAGTTCCACTTACAGGGCCCACGTAACTTTCAGCACATCTTGCCAGTTAACAGGATAAAGTGCAAGGACATGGGGGTGCCACGTCTCAAATGGCAAACTGGCGCCTTGGTCCCCTCTGATGTAATGGATACTCGGGACCCAAAATCCTCTGTTTGGCCTTCCACATCATTCCACACCGATGCTCCAAACAAATGGGACCTGGAGCTGTTAAAGCGGGAAACAGTGGGTTAATACTGATGATAGTCAGGTATGTGTTGCTGACTGAAATTCCTAATTGCTGGTGATACTGAAAGACTGAAACATTTGCTGTTTGCACGTATGGCTAAAGCTGTACATTTGCATGAAGCTGCAGATCTCTTGGGAATGTGTGTGCCTTTGCCTTCACAGCTGAAGCGTGTGCAAAGGATGAGAGGTGTGTCTCTTGAGAGCTGACCTTTAACCCCCTCGCTTCCGGTGTCACAGTGCATCCAAACAAGCACCAGCACTATATGTTCTAGCCATAGAATTGACACAATACTTAAAAATACTTGCGTGGAGATACATCTTAAAACAAAAACATCTAAAACAGGAACACATTTGGAAAGAAGTTCACAGGACTGCAAGGGAAAAGCGATAAGGTACTACACAGAGCGGACAAAAAGAAAGAGAGAAATGAAAAGATAGGTGAGGGGATGGAGGGAGAGGAAAGAGAGCAAAGAGGGGGCTTAATCTCCTGGGTGGGCTGGAAATCAAAGCACTCTGTGGAAAAGTAATAATAGAGTCTGGTAGATTGATGATCACCTCTGAGATACATGGATCCACCAGGGAGAGGGAAATGAACTAAAATAGCTCAAAAAACAGAGCACAATCATGTTTTTCTTCCCTGTGCGTCAATAAAACACAGTCCCTGATGTACAACAATCATGACTCAAACTTGTACTTGCCAGGGCTAACTGCTTTTCATGTGAAAAAAAAAAGAATTCAATGAGTGTTTAGAAAACCTTCACATCGAGAGCCCCGGTCACACACACTGTGACATGAGGCAACAGGTGGAGAGGGGGGTAATGGTGAGAAAGATGGGGAAAGAAAAAAAAAGGGACCCTGGCAGTTATGGAGGGACAAGCTGCTAATTAGCCGGGTTGGGTTCAAAGGTTAGGCTGGTTGTGTGATGTCACCACGAAGGGACGGGTTCCAGATGTTGCTCGCAGGGCCACCGAGGGGGGGGGGGGGGCACCTGATGCCTCCGGTCATCATCATTTCTCTCTCTGTCACACACACACATACACACACACCTTTGTTAAACGCTTATATTGAGAAAGGAGGAATTTATCAAGTGATATTGTTATTGGAATGTCCTGTAAGAGAAAAAATAATATTGGTATGACAGAACTGAAAGTTATTAATTTCATGCTAAGTGACAGCGGCCCACATTGGTTTATTAAGGGGATGCAAATTGCTTCTGATTAACACTGTCCAGTACCAAAATGTTTTATGGGCCCCCCTTTTTCGTGTGGTTGAACTTGAAAAAATACTGTATTTATTCTAGTCCAACAAGAAAACAGGCACTTCAATCACTTAAATCTCAGCCATGGACTAAAGGTTATATTGGTTAAAGAACTACCTGTTGCTGTGAGTTTTGACAGCCCTATATTTTACCGTCGTCACCACAACTACACCCATTGAAAAAGACAGAGGGCTGACACTAGAGCCCCTCCCTTTCTTTAACGTATGAGAAATCAAAGACCTACTAATAAACCAAAAGTAACATTTAGCAAGTATTGCTTAAACACTAATAAATGGCCCAAACGAGAGGCCATGAAAGCTTCTTATATAAGAATCTCCAATACTACTTTATTTATATTGTAATTTGTTGTTAATTTGATTCCTTTACAAAAAACATAGATATATACACTTTAATTTGACTTGCAAAGCACAAAAGAGTTGTGCGGTGGCGGGGGAAAGCTTCTTTTAGATATTAAAATGGGCTAACAAATATAAATGTTTAAACTGAAAAACAAGGAAAAGCTGCAGGCAGTTGAGGATTAAAGGCTACTGTATATTCTACAGTGTTTGCTTTATTCTGAAAATGTTCTTGGTGATAAAAGAAAAAAGAGTGGGCCTCTATCAGCTTGTGGTAAATCTTCTGACAAACTTCCCCAGTCTGAACTGCTAAACTTGTCCTTTTT